TTTTTTGGTTTTTCGAGACAGGGTTTCTCTGTGGCTTTGGAGCCTGTCCTGGAACTAGCTCTTGTAGACCAGGCTGGTCTCGAACTCACAGAGATCCGCCTGCCTCTGCCTCCCGAGTGCTGGGATTAAAGGCGTGTGCCACCACCGCCCGGCAGGGAAGGATTCTTTTGAGAAAGTGCATTTTGATGAGCTAAATATTGTGAAAAGGTTTATCAGCACCTGAGCGAGGCAGAAAGTCCACTGAAGAGGCAGATCCTTTCACAGAGCTGTCTGCTAAGCAGGTAAGTCAAGTCTTTTTGTAAAAGTTCAAGTGCTGTGGCACTTTGGGGTGTCTGTTATCGGGTAGGCATTGGGGCTCATAACTACTCTTGCAGTCATGACAAGTCAAATAAATCTAAAGGGACAACACAGCCTGACGGGAATATGACGACAGAGTGACAGAGACTGCAGAACAGGCGGGCAGGCATCTAGAGAACTTGGCAAGACCCAGAAAACGACAGCCTTTTTTTGGTCACGTGCTGTTATCAAGCCGGCTTGGCCTGAATGTTTGCCCACATCACCAACGATTTTTTGGCCTCCATAGGCACTACATGTACATGGTACAACTCTCTGTCTCTCTCTCATGGGGGCATCCATATACTGGGAATGAGAAGTAGAAGCCTTATTCTGTCTACGAGACAGACCTCAAAGCTTTGCTTTCTCCAACACCTACAAACTCATCCAATAGGAGAAAGACACTTCCTTCAATCAGACTCTGTGGAAAGGAAGTGCCTTGAAATTTTTAGCGGAGGAGGACTTTCTTAGAAATTGAAAAATTATAAGCTGGTGTCTCACAATCAACACCAAACCCATGCTGGGCAATTGCTAGGATACAGATATGCTATGAAAATGCAATATAGCCAAATTAAGGGGACATGCACCCTCTTGAGAATTTTACTAGTATCGGTCAACTAACTACACCCATCTGCATACTTAAGAGAATAAGACATCTGGTTCACTCCCAGTCATGTGTTAGATAAAACCCCATCACTACTAAAAATCTCTTCATCAGAAAATGACCTAGTTGGAGCAGTTAGTTCTTCTAAGGTGTAATGGAAAAGCCTAAGCAGTTTGTGAACAGAAAGTACAAACTCTTACAATGTTTTCATTTTTATTTCCAATCCAAAAAGGGAAAAGCTAGTATTCTGCAGAAAAGCATTTAAAAACACCTTTTAAAATAGATTTGCACTTCAAATACTTATGCCCTAAGTAGGGTAAAGTCCACAATCCGCCTACAGCAACTCCAGACAATGAAGTCCCAAGTTAGGTGAGCAAACGGGAAGTCCACAGAAGGCAAATGGCTGCGTGGGAACTTCAACTATCGCTGGGCACGCAGGTGAGGACCAAGGGTCCGGAACTTCATGGGTTCGGAAAGGCGCTTGCTGCACAACTCTGGAGTTAGATCTAAGTTCCATCTGTGCAGCCCATGCACTAGTGGGAGAGTGAACCTGCTCCACAAGCTACCCTCTGACCTCCACACAGCAGGACATGTGTTCCCACACACACACTGTACACACAACACAGAGCCTTGCTGACCTCCACACAGCGTGGCATGTACACACACACATATACTGTAGACACACAAAAGTCATCCTGACCTCAACACATCATGGCACATACACGCCCACACATTATAGATACAAATACAAAAAAAATTAAAGAAAAAAAAAACAAAATTATGTGCAATTACCAGCTGCACGTGTTAGGCTGCCACCCGATCCACAGTGAGTCAGTACCAATGGACCAATGCCTCTGTCTGTCCCTGGTGGTCTGCCGCACTAACATTCAGTTCCTCCTCCATCTGTCAGCAGTTTCAAGCTCACATTTGTAGTGCCTCCCCTTAATGACTGCTGACCCAAAGACCTGTGTTCTAAAATGGTCTGTGGTGAGAAGCAATCAACACGGACAGAGCTGTTCTGGCTTAAACGTTACATCCAGTCTCCACAATGCTAGGTGTGGAGAAATATTCTGACTTCTCTTCCTAAATTCAAAGTGAAAGTCATTACTGTGGAAGCATTTGAAAATGTTCATCTGGCCAGCATCTCTTCTGACAAGATACCCAACCTAAAATGCTATATTCCTGGTATTACTGGTGGCTGTGCGTGAACACTGAATCCAGTGAGCACCCTACAGTTAGTTGTAAACTTTAACCAGAACCCACAACAGTCGCAGACTGTCTGCACTTCCTTCCACCCTTCCAGAAACACCCCGAAAACTGCCATCCCTCTAGATGAGATATCTCTATATAAAGTGTCCGTCCTGTGATTAGGTTCCACTTCCTGTTCTTCGGGAAGGCGGCAATGGTGCGGGGGTATCTTCTGCTGCAGGACAAGAGAGGTGGCCTGAAACAACTGAGCTCATTCAGCAGTCCAGTGGTCACCCAGTGACCAACTTGGCTTTTCTAAGTTAGCTCATTGTTACAGGGCTGTGCCTCCTTTGAAAACTGGTATCAAGATGAAAAGTTGATTATTCTTTCAGAAACTTCTCAGCATTACAAACTACGGGTCTGGAGGATCAAGTGTCATCAGAGATAAAGGACTGACATTCATGAAAAGCACAAGTCACTTCGGGTCCCTTGCTCACTAGTAGCACTGCAGGCCATTGCTCTATCTGCAGGGGTGGGACCCACTGACAGAGGTCAGGGTTCTGCAGGGGTGAGACCCACTGACAGAGGTCAAGGTTCTGCAGGGGTGGGGCCACTGACAGAGGTCAGGGTTCTGCAGGGGTGGGACCCACTGACAGAGGTCAGGGTTCTGCAGGGGTGGACCCACTGACAGAGGCCAGGGAAGCGGCCCTGAGTGCTGAAAGACCTTTAGCTTGCTCCTAGTGTAGCAGTCACATTTCCCGTGCGTTTAGTTTGTGAAAATGTTTAATCTCAGTCTACTGTGACCAAGGCCCGAGGTGCATCCTGTGAACTGTTTGTTGTTGTTGTTGTTGTTTTTAATATGTGGGAGAAAATTTAAAGATATGCCCGTTGGAACTTCAACCACATAACAAGCCTATATGATGACTGTAGGAGTACTGCATATGAAGCATAACACAAAATCCAATTTTATACTTAGAAATTATACTTAGAATCACACAATTTATACTTAGAAATTAAAAAATGCTTTCAACTTTTCCAACACTGATGAAAACAGAAGTCCAAAGTACTAGGGGATGGAGGTGGGGCAGTCTGCAACTGATCCTGCTAAAATCAAGATGGTTAATGTTGCCACTTCAGGGCCAATTCAGACGCTTTGATAAACTTGATCCCAGCCCTGGGGAAAGACAAAGGCACATAGATGTCTGTGTTCCAAGCTGGTCAACACCACACATTCTCTTGAAACAACCGTGTCTCAGAAAATAAAGGCCTGGAGAAAAGGCTGAGCACTCAGGAGTCACTAGAAATGATTCTCAGAACACACAGGGTCGCTCACAACCCTCTGTAGTAACTCCAGTCCCGGGGATCATAATTCCCAGAACACATGGGGTGGCTCACAACCCTCTGTAGTAACTCTGGTCCCCAGGGATCTGATACCCACTCTTTTCTGGTCTCTGTGGGCAGGACAAAACACATACATATAAAAAAAAATGAAAATTTAAAATACAAAAAGTAAAGGCCTTAATAATACACTTGTCTTTAACACACGCAGTGTAGCAAGCACACATTAGAATTCAGTGGAGTCTATCAAGTCTTGCCACACTATTTACACAAGGACGACAGGAATCAAGATGCTGGGACTCTGACCAAAAAATTCACAAGAAGACACCAATTAAGGAGGCAATTTTCCTAGCAATGTGGTAGTATACTAGACACAAGCTTTGCAGATAATACAGAAATTGTTTAAAGCGAACAAAAAAACCCCAACTCTTTAATTTCGAAAATTCCCAGGTATCCTCAGGGACACTTAAAAATAATTCTAGAATGTTAAAATGTAAGAAAAGACAACAAAGCCTCCAGCACTAATTCTTTACTCCCGTCCTCCCAGGAATGACAACAGAAACTACATGGAGGACTCACATTCACTAACCTAATTAGAGCGCATACCGCCTCATCCCCTGCATTAACAAATTTGGGTTGGACCACGTGTTACAAAGCACTGGGAGGCCAGATTTAACCGGATCCCAATGCCGACTGGTGTCTTCTGCTTCTTTACTACTTCCTGCTCTCCACAGCCAAAGGTAAGGGTCAGCAGAAGGCAGGCTTTGCAAGGCTCCTGAACACTAGAGGGACTATGAGGAAAAACTCAAGGTTTTGGTTACAACTGTAAGGTATCTGAAACACATTGGCGTAATGCTGATGAAAGAATGGAGCTGGTTACTTCAACCATTAAAGGAGAAGGCCATTTTGAGCCTGTCAACGTTGCTAGCATAATCAATACAATGGACTAAAGAGGAAAACAAAAACAATTACGTTTCTTTAATGTTTTGCATTCTATTGATTCACAAACCTCATAAGTCTTTTTTTCAGTTGACACAATCAACTTCAACTTGTAGAAGAGACTAAGACCCAATTCAATTTTTTTTTCCATACAGTACAGTGATTTAGGGGAAACTACCACAGAAACTGGGAGCGTAGTGTGAGCCCATCACTACCGTAAGAAGGCATCAAGGAGGGCAAAGGTTTAGCGACACACCTTACTGTCTGGGCAGCACACTCTTCTGGTGGTATGGCTGGACCTGTTTATAACCTTTCTGCACTGCTCTCCCAGGGCGTGAAGTGCTTTTTAAAAACATGTTGTATTCAAACCCAACTTCCCCTTAGGTGCAGCCTCATTTCATTACACAGAAGAAGCCTTTGTGTTGTTATCCCTTAGAGCTAGCCACAACTGTTGTACCATAGTTCCCAGGGTCACACTAACCTCAGGCATTATTTGATCAGAAGTTTTCCATTTTAAAAAATAAAAACAATGACCACCCTAGGATTACCTGATAATGGGACACATTTTCTTTATTCATAAATTACCGCACATTGTCAGGACACCTTTTTAAAATAGATATTGAGGGGAATCCTTTTAAATCTTTCTTTCTTAATATGCTTGGAAATATTAAAATTTCAAAAGAAGTAAAAATCAAACCTAAATACTTTAAAAAAAATCATAAATGAATAAAAGCATAGACTTTGGACATACAAAACTCGAGTGGGGAGAAGTCTACTTTTACATATACACCACTAATACTTCAAGTGCAACAGAAGCTGGAGCACTTGTCTCCGGACCAGTTCACATTCACCTTGTAACGCTCCCAAAAAGACCAACTGATCCTCAACATTAAAGTACATCTGTGCATTAAATCCCTGCGCATTTTAACACCTAGTGCTCAATGTAAACATTTTAACTATTATTTATTAATCATTCTTAATCCTTAATGGTACTTAGGAGTGTGTCACATAGTCAAATTTCATGTTAGAAATAGCACCATAACCAAAAGGAAAAAATGAAAAACAAAACCCCACAAAAACACTTCCTCCAAACCCCTCATCTTGACTTCACAAGTTGAGAGTCGCTGTCAACAATTCCACCCGAGGTCACCAGAGTCACTTCTGTTCTCTGATGAACCCGAAATACTGCTTCTACACAATTGGACCAAAAAGAAAGGGGGAGAGGGAGTTTTAGAAAGGATTGTAGACTAATCAGTTATCAGTTAAAACTTAGTCTAAGACTGAGAACCGTTCTGCACATGAAACCCAAACTCACTCATGAGTGCACTTCATATTCATTTATGGATTTTTGGTGCCTTTTTGCAGATAATGGTAAACATGCAGCTAAAATCCTGAGGGACGTTAACAGGAATCAAACGTATTTCTGGTCGACAGCCAAAGACACCAGGACCTTCCATCTACTCTATGGTAAGCATCTAACCTCCCATGTGTGGTGGGGAGAGATCACTACCCTGAGAAACAGCACCTACCAACCACCGCTGGAAACTCCCAAAGCCAACCCCATCTCTTGCATGAGAACAGAGAAGTGCCTGCCAAAAGGAATTGTGATGCCAAAGAACATCAGATGCTCTTCCTGATCTGCCACCTCAGGAAAAGAGGAGGGAAAGGGGGCAGTTTATGTATGAACGCAAACACAACTATGGTCAAAAATCACTCGAAGGTGTGTAAACCACAAATCCCTATCACTCACGGAAACTCAAGGGAAACCTACCGGGAAGAGCTACCTACAGTAGACCAAAAATAAGCAACTCAACAAAGAAATGAACCTGGCTCAAAAATAAATGTACTCTAGTATTCAGGGTGATGTGATGTCACTGTGCCTCAAACATGACTTTCTCACACTAGAGGTCCCAGAAAGGATGCTGACGGTGCAGGTGCACAAGGCAGCAGGAAGTTCAAGGATGGAGAAGGACGTAGGTAGGACTCACAACTGTACTCTGAACTCCACAGTTCTGACAGAGAAAAATCTACACAGAACCGAAATACCATTAGCCCTGCCCTCTTATTAAAGAACACTTTCCCTAAATCTAAGGCACACAAACTTCTCTACTTCAGAGTAAGATTATGGAAGAGCAAGAATTTGGTAAATCCTAATGGAAAGTAAATCTTGAACAAAAAAAAAAAAAAAAAAAAAAAAAAAAAAAAAAAAAAAAAAAAAAAAAAAAAAAGGGACAATTTGTCAGTGAACTATCTAAAAGAAAATATTCTAACTATTCTCTCAATCTAGACCTTTAAATTATGCACTCCAAACATGTAAAATCATTTACCAGCCAGCACTTTATAAATTCAAGTTTATAAACATTAAAGTCATCAGGTTTTCCTTAAAAAGATAAGAGTAAGACCCAACAAGCATTTGGGAAAAAGTGGAAGCCATGTTAATAAAGATGACCAGATGTGGGTAAATGTATCCTACTCAAGTCTCCAGGGAAAATGATTACAAAAAAAAATAGTAAAAAAAGAAAAAAAGTGGTAGGTGCCTTGCCTACTAATCATGGTTACACTCGCCATGATTATAATGTCAGTATGCACATAATATTTATCAAGATTCTGTAAACATAGGTCACGAGGATTTTTCTCCTACTTTAACTACATGGCAGGGGTTTAGAAACTACCACTTCTGGACAAATTCAGGAAAGAACTGCGTGACACTGCTGTTACAAAGTAATGCTCACTGGCTTGGGTAACCAAGTCGTCTAGTGTTTAACCTGTCTGTATTCAATACTGTCAAAGTAGATCTGCCCCCAAAATGAAGCATATTTTGGCACCTGTGCTGAATGCTGCTTCAAAAACCAGCAAGTGCAAATAAAAATAACAGTCATGATTTAGTCACATTCACAAACTTCTCGTAGAAAAATATAAATATATTCCCTGAATTGTAAGCCAGCGTTCACAATACATTCCAGTCGCTGTGCGCACGCTGGCTCTCACGGTCACAAGGTGCAGTCACTGAGCTCCAATGCATTTTCTATGCTTCTGTCATCTTCCCCATCATGGTACCTCACCGTCCTCCTACCCTGATTTCTCGTTCTTATTTTTGAGCGCCGAACAACTCTTTTAGCTTGTGCACAGTCCAGCTCCTCCCAGTCCTTGTCATCCACACTCAACCGGGGACATTTGCTCTGTCTTTGATGTCGTGCAGTCTTAGCCGGGTTAGAGGGAGGGGTTTTACCTTTTCTAACCACCTTTACTTTTCCTTTCCTTTTCTCCTTCCTCGGGGCTTTTGTGTTATCAGTACACTCGGCATCAGATTCAGTCACTGACCCCAAATCAGATGACTTAGGGCTGGTGTCAGGTACACACGCTGAAGTCTCCGTCTGTCCAGGCGTGTCCACACTGTCTAGCTCAGGACGCAGTCTCCTCTTCCCTCGAACCTCTGCCGACGCCTGCAGACTGTGAGTCACTTGTGCTGTCCTATCGAAAGGGGCTTTTCCATATGTCCTGAGCCTTCTGCCATTCCACCTCCGTAACCCATAATTCAGGTCTTCTTCAAAGTTATTCTCTGTGGTAGCTTTTTGAGCCAAAACTGACTCAGACGACAAGCTAATCTCACTATCTGGGGTGTGGCTTTTGGGGTCTTCCTGAGAAGGTCCAGCAGAGAAGCTCCGGGTTTTAGGCGGCATTCTGATGTCCACAGGGTCGGTATGCTTCTTCTGTATGCTTTCTGTATGCTCAACACTGGAAGCCCCTTCAGAATCCAAGTCTGCATTTACAGACTCACTGGCATTTTTTGTACTACCTTGGGATTCAGACTCGGGGAGGTTGCTACCGCAGGCACGTTCTGCCTCTGGCACTTCACAGTGTGCGTGTGTCTCACCACCACTCAGTATCTTCTTTGCTGGAGTACAGGCCAATCGGATGGGCTTTTTCCTTCTCCTTCTGCCTCGAGTACACACCCTTTCTAAGGTGACATTTTCTGCATCACTTGTGAGCTTGGTTTTATCAGCAGCCACACTAGCACTTCGAGTAATCCTGGGTGACTTCTTCATAACCTGGAGATTGCTTTCCGAGTCACTGGAACAGACCCTTTTCTGGGAAATTTTTCTGCTTTGTCCATTTTCTTGGGACAGAGAATCTAAAAATGAAAAAGTATTTTTTTAATCTTTGATATGAGGAACTATTTCTAAAGTAATCAAACGCTTAACAGAAGACAATTTAAGTGCTGAATTCTTACTAACAGTCAGGTTACGTTAGATGGTCCCAACTCCTGACACTGCCTGAGTGCAGCAGAGCCCAACTGAGGACAACGTGAGGAGGTTTAACAAGACCGTTCCACCAGCTGCCATCATGACTAACACTGAACCAATCCCATCATTTCTCTTTCTCAAGCAGTCACTACCACGTTCCTGTCTCTAATACAATGCCAATATTCAAAGTAAATCTTTAACAGAATAGTTAAAGCCAAGACTAAACGTTCAGTGACTAACAGTGATCGTGCATAGCGTGACAACAGAAAGGTGAACAAAGAACCAGCATACAATCAGAAGAAACAGCTAATAAAAAGAAATCTAGAAGAGGGGAAACAGTCTTTTACCCAACAGAGAGGAGGAAGGGGTAAACTAGTGAAAGGGCAAGTGTCTAGAATTACCATTCATATCGCTGTGCAATTTATCTTCCGCTGTGCCAACATCAGAATCCACTTCAGTCTCGGACCCAGGACCCGAGAAACCCTGCGGCACAGAAACAGCTTCACTCTTCAAGGCCTCAGGGACTGGGTCTCCTTCCGCTGTGCCAAGTCTCTTGCTCTCCTGTCCTTGTTCTTCACAGTCTTCTGAATCGCTCAAGACAGCCGCCTTCTTAAACACATGTGCATTCTTGCATAATTTACTGCTTCCTGGTTCAGAGTCAACTTCCTCAGAGATGTTCTCTGTCCCAAGTTTCTGCCCAGATGTTGAAGGGGCAGCAGTGCTGCTCAGCCCATCATCTGATTCGTGACATCTGGAGTCTTCCTCAGAAGACTCTATTGGAAGGAACTTTGTTTTGCCTGTTGCTGGAGTGTGGGATGTGCAGCCGTTCGCGTGCCAGTTCTTCCGGGCCACTCTCAAGTCACTGTCTGAGTCACTGACACTGTCCTGGGCAGAGTGAGGACCAGACAGCAGCCGTGCTCGGCTCTGGTCTTTCAGTTCTTCCGTCTCTGACTTAAGGTCGTCACAATTGTGTAGTAACTTTCTCCTAGCTGCAGCCGAGGCGTTGCGATGTGGCAGCTTACGGCCAGAGCAGAGGCTCTCAGAGCTCGAGTCTTCTTCCGCATCACTCATTAACTTTATCTTATTGGCAGCAACGGCAGCACACTTCCGGAGGACTTTCCGGGTGTTTCCAGCCTTGCCCTTCAGATCTTCATCTGTCTCCGCGGAGTTGTTATCAGAATCACTTAGGTAGGCTCTCTTCCGAGTGGCTTTTCTGCCACATCCATTTTCTAAAGAAACAGAACCTGAAAATAAAGTGACGGGGTTAGGGAACTGTTTCCTTATTCTGGACAGTCAGACTACGCAGACACATAGGCCACATTGGCCGCTGTCCTAATGCCCTGTCTTAGCTTCCTAAGGTGACACTAGACGCACTAAGTTTTCAAATGTCTCTACAAGGATTGACTGAAACATGTTGATGACTTACTTTCCTTTCCAAATTAAAAGAATTGAGACATTTCATCACATCTAGATGAGTTCAATTACACCAATCAACACTGATTAGTCACTGACCAGCTTTTCTCTGAGCGGCTCGTGTTCTTGTCACCCTGAGATTGCTGCTTCTCAAGAAGCCACTGCGCAGGGAGCTCTCTGCAGCTCTGGGGCTCTCTTTGCTTTCCTCAGAACTAGGCGAAGATGAAGAGGTAGCTATGAAATCTTCCATTTCACTTTCTAAAACAAAACAAAAATAAGGTCTCCACAACAAGCATTTGTTTCATAACTCAAATATTTCACAATGTAACTTATACTAAAACCAGATTCTTGGGTTGCACAGATGGCAACAGATAAGAGCACTTGCTGCTCCTGCAGAGGACACAAGCTCAGCCCCAGCACCCATATGACAGTTGCTCACAAGTGCCTCTAGCTCTAGTTCCAGGGATTGGATGCCCTCTTCTGGCCTTAGTGGGCACCAGGCACATGATAAATACAGAGACAAATAAGCTGAAATTTAAAACAAAAAAATTAAAGATTCTAAATCTTTAATTTTTTAAATTAATAAATGCTTTGAATGTTTGCAAATAATGAAGAAAGTGACCTAAAAGAGGTACTTAAAAACACTTCAGTGTTCCACATTAAGTTATGCCTGTATTTTCAAAGACTGACCACCACACACTGGGCAAGATTTAGAAAACAATTTAAAACCAAACTTCCCAAAGTTACAGAGAAACCCTGTCTCGAAAAACAGAACTAAAAAGAGCAAATTTTCATTTCAAACTTAAATTAGCCCCACTAATTATTATGCCTTCTGTGACATTAAGACATTTCTATGCTAGAAGATACAATCTCATTCTGGACCCTTTGACCTCAAAAGGAGGAGTTTCAGATCTCCAGCAGCTCCTGACAAGACAGTTCTAACACATGAACCTCACAGTCACACATGAGCATGAGGCAGTGTGCAAGCTTGTTTTGTGTCAACCTGACACAATTATCATTCGGGAAGAGCAGCTTTCAACTGAAAAACTGCTCCCACCAGATTAACCTGTGTGCAAGACTGTATGGAATTTTCTTAATTGATGATTGATGTGGGAGGCCAGATGGCTGTGGGTGGTATAACCCCTGGGCTCATGGTCCTAGGAGCTACAAGAAACAGGCTAACACGCCTGTTTTGAAGATATGAAGAGTCACTGAGAGCAGCTGAAGCTTGGCACTATGAGAGGCCAGAGGTGAAGGTGCACCTCAATTGTAGCTAAGCCCCGGGATTGAAAAAGCCACGGAGAGAAGTTGAGGCTTGGTACCATGTGGCAGTGACAGAGTCCCTAAAGAGTGCTCGGGGAGGCTACGGCTGCAGTGTAGATTGCAGCATTTTAAAGATGCCAGGGGAAGATCACCAAAAGCAGCAGAAGCTGTGAAACGGAGCTGATCTGACCTAGGAAGGTGAGCTGTGCATGTTGCAGACAGTGAGTGCCTCCCAGGCATACAGCACTCAACTTTGACATTGGCAATTTTGGGTTTGCTTTGGTCTGAATATGAAGGTATGTAACTTATTTTTGATTTTAAAGGATCCCACAGTTAAGAGAGTTTGGAATTCTAGAAGGACTTTGAACTTTGAACGAGACTTTGGATGTTTTTAAAAAAGACTGAACTTCAGAATTTTAAAAAACTGTTGGGACTTTCAAAAAGTTGGGTTGTTTTATACTGTGACATTAATTTAAACCTGCCATCTTAGGGACAAATGAGAAAAAAAGATCTAGTTGAACAGTGATGTGTTTGCGTGTCAAGTTGACACGGAGTCATCTGTGCTGGCTAAACACACACTAGAATCATTTGGGAAGAAGGAACCTCACCTGAGAAAACACCTCCATCAAACTGGCTGCATTACCACAGCAAAAGAAATCCCAAGACAGATAGGGTATCCCAGTTTCCTGTTCTTACATACTTGGAGACTTCATTCTGTAACCGTCTATATTCCGGTGGTCTGAAGGAAGATGGCCCCCATAGGGAATGGAACTATTAGGAGCTGTGGCCTTGTTGGTATAGGTGTGAGTGTGGCCTTGCTGGAGGACATATGTCCTGCAGGCTTTGGGGTCTGATGTATGCTCAAGTCACTTCCCATTGCCTGTTAGTCAAATACAAGAACTCTCAGCTCCTTCTCTAGCACCATGTCTGTCTCACACTGCCTTGCTTCACTGTCATGACAATGGACTAAACCTCTGATGGTAAGCTGCCACCACAATTAAATGTTTTCCTTTAGAAGAGTTGCCATGGTCAGGGGTCTAACTAGGACAGTAACTAAGACAGTTTCATACTGGTGTCATGGCTGTACACCGTGCTGTTTCTAATCACAGTAATAAGCAGCACTCCTCACCCGACAGCTCAGAGCCATTCCTCAGCATTTCAGATCTAT